GAGAGAGAGAGAGAGAGAGAGAGAGGCGTTCACCGTGTGCGCGAGAGAGGCGCGCGTTCACTGTGAAAGCGTGTATGTGTGTGCGCGCGCGTGAGAAGCAGCCCTGGAGTGTTTTAGCGTTTGTAAAGCGACAGAAACATGTGAGAAACTGCACAAACTTTACAGGACTAAAACTGGAGACCGCGGGAATCTTCACTTCACTCATAAGGAGAGAGTCTGTATGGACCACAAACATCAACAACAACAACAACAACAACAACGCAGGTTTACGGTGCAAACAAACCGTTGGAACTTTACATTACTGACGCTGGAGGATTTAAAAATCTGGACGAAGCAAACCCAGGCAACGTGAATGAAGTTTTAAAGAGCCGCTGGATTCATTACCATCGACGATACAACTCTGGGTTTTGTTAATAAACGATTCCTGAAGTATTATAAATAATATTGTGAGCTTTTTGTGGATTATTTCGTACAGCTTTCGAGCGGAGGAAAACCTATAATGTTAATACCATCGATGGAGTGACACCTTCATGTTAGCATCACAGTCAAGTGCCTCAAAAAGGTAAAACACACACACACACACGCATTTATAAATAGACATATTGCAATCGTTTGCGCCAGCAGATGTTATTCAGCCAAATATGCATAATTCATAAATCAGAGTTGCCATTCATATGTTGTATCTGATTGAGTAATGAGTCCTGTATTTTTAATGCAACTTCTGACGATGCTGCTTGGTTGCAGGTGTTTTATTTGTGTTTATTGCTGTGTTTTTTGTGGTGCACGTGAGATTGTGTGAGTCTCTTGAGAACAATGACCAGCACACAGTCTCTGACTGACCACAGCAGATCATGCTGGATATCAGCCCTGTCCAGCACTCGCACCTCATTCACAGTCACTTCATTAAAACTGCATGAGGCATTGCTTAAGAAATAAACTGCAGTGTACTTTAGTCGAGTGCTCCTGTTTAATGGTGTTTGTAGGATTATTATTATTATATTTTAAATGCCACTTTGGCTCCTCGGGTGGCTTTCTATACAAATGGGATCTTGCTGAACTCAAATAGGATTACTAAAGTAAATTAAAGAGAAGTTTAATGGTATAATAATTCTAAAATAGTTTGTATATATATGTATATGTATATATATATATATATATATATATATATATATATATATATATATATATATGTATGTATGTATGTATGTATGTATGTATGTATGTATGTATGTATGTATATATATGTATATGTGTATATATATATATATATATATATATATATATATATATATATATATATATAGGAGGTATTATGTTACATATTATTTATTTTTGATATCTAAAATATTTAAAACTATTATTATTATTATTATTAATGGTCTATTTTGTGTAGTAATTTATTAAATAAGTTGTTAATTTAACTTTACTGAAAGTTAACCTAATTTTAATAATATTATTATAATATTGAAACATTTATTTAATATAATGAAAGTACTGAAATTGAGAAATATTCAACGTAAAAAATATAAATAATAAATTATACAGATATTGTTATATATGATAGTATGTATACATTTAATGTTTAAAGTTTTAAATTTAATTCTGTATTATCACCATACTCTTAACATCAAATGAATTAATTTACTGTTAAAATATGTAAAAGTAAAATGACGATATGCTGAATCTGAAAAATATGTAATATAATAAATGTGAATTATATTGTATAAGCTGTAGTCCAACACCTATATTAATAAAAATATTTATTAATTAATAAACATCCAGTTTGCCATAGTTGTCAACATATTAAAATGAAACATAAAAATATATCTAAAAGAGTTAGATAACATTATTTGTTTATTATTATTTTTTTAAAACATTCTGAACTCGAAATAAAACTTTTTTTTTGCTGATGTTGAACTTTTTTTTGGATCACATTGTAATTTTATTGAGCGTTATATCATTTTAGGATTTATATACGGGATTTATTACCTTATATGAACTGTATTATTTATTTAAAAGCTGCATTGTACTTTCATTAGATATA